ATCGATGAACGCTTTTGTGTAGTGCAATGTCTTAACGGCCAGCCCTTGACTATTGTTTGTTTACCCGTACGGCACAGGTATGGAAGCGATTATGTCTGAGTTCTTCAACGACACGACCACCGCCTTCTACGTAATACTGATCGTATGGTTGGCCGACCAGTTCGACGCCATGTGCTCTCATACGGCGCTCACTCGTCGCCATTGGCTGAAGTTCTTCTATTTATATCACTTCGCGTTCTACGCCTACGACTACCGCTTCAACGGCCAGTACTCAGGGCTGGCACTCCTCACCTCCTGGCTCTTCATCCAGCACTCAATGCTCTACTTTTTCCATACATACGAATTGCCGCACATTCTCTCGCAAACACATCCCATCACTATTGAAGCCACGGTCAGACACCACACCCCACCGCCTCCTACGCAACCCCCGCCCGAACCTCCCGAAGACGACACCGGCGCCAACGAAGAGCAGAGTTCGCCGAGTAGTTCCGCTCCAGAAGCTGACAATTCAGACCATAATTTATTGTCAAATAATACCTCAAACGAGTCGACGACACACGAGAACACGACCGATGGCTCGCCTGACAGTCCACCGCCCGACACATCAGGTGGTGGTCCAGTCGAGGGCACCGTTAGCTTTACACAGAAATGTTCTCAAATGGATTCCGACACTAATTTATTAAATAGTAATCAATTGATTACCACTTTTTAGTCTTAACTGAAATGTATATGAAATGAGAGAAAAACATATTCTTATAATCGGATCAATCGATCGAAACTACATCTGAATTGTTGTTATATTTTGACGACTGTTTGACACGTTTTTGAATTCAAGTTTTAGATACCAATCAATTAGACAGACATTTGAAACCAAAAATAATATTCAAACCATTTATTGGATGCAATAAATAGTTTGTATTTTCACTTATAATTTGTATGAATTTGTGATAAAATTAAATGTAGTTTTTGTTTAAATTTGTTTTTTGTTATAATTAACGATTGATTTGTAAATAAAATGCAGATATTATTAAAATTGTTTTCATGTTTAAAGCAATCATTTCATTGAAATTCAAATAAATTATCTCTTTTTGTGGTAATAATTGAGTCGTGAGTTTAGCGATGGCTCTGTCATCAGACACAGAGGTGTTCCCCAAACACGTGACTCTCTTCGCCAATGTTTACATCAAAACAATTGCCTTTTAAATCATTATTTTGATTGTTAATTGACATTAAATTGTATTTCAGATTAAATCACTAAAAGTTGTTTGCATTCAAAGTGTTGTCAACTGACTGTGCATTCAATTCAATACATTTCAATGCATTTAATGCATAACTTTTGATCACATGATTCACACGTTTTTTGTTTGCTTCGAGTTTTTTAGAAGTTTTGATAACTTTTTTGAAGTGAAAGCAAAAACCATTTATCGAAGACATAGACACAACTCTAATGCCTGTCATATCTGATCTCATATTAAGTGTTTGAAACAATTGTCTCGTTTGAGGTTAGATGTGATGACCAGTAAAGAGCTGTTGGAGTCTCTCATATCCCGCCAATGGTTCCACACTTTGGGTCACTTTTGGTCCGTAAAAGTGTTGAGATTTGCTCTCATTTTCGAAGGAAAAGAGGAAAAGAAAAACTTTTTAAATGATTTCATTGGAAGTGTTGAGTCACTGAAGAGGTGTTCACAACTGAGACACTTGTTTCTTGTGATCAAACATATTAATGACCAGACGTTTGATGACATAACCATTCATTTACCACAACTCCAGACTATAGTCTAGTATGCAGTCATTGCGTGATAATTGATCTCTCATTCAATTCATTCACCACTTCTTTGCCAAACCATTCATTCATTCATTCTTTACTTTTTATTATTATTTTTTAGTGGTTTCTAATGTTATATCTTTTGTATAATTATCAAATAGTATTCATTTTTACGTAAAACTCTTATTGTCTCATAATTAGTCAATTTTTATAAAATACAAATAAGACAATTGGTTCTCAATTGATCCTAAGTTTTCATAAAACACCACTTTTTTATTACCGGTACTACTAATCCATTGATTATCACGTTTTTAGTCTCAACTATAAAACTAATAAAGAATTCAAACATTTCTAAAATTCAAGTTATTTATTAAAATAAATATTTAAAAAATTAAATAAATATTCATTCAATCAGTGGTTTTAAACAGCATTTAAAAGCATGTAATCAGTATTGGAGTTAAAGTTTGTCTAAAAATTTGGTGAAAATATCTAAAAACATATCAATTGTACGAAAGTCCAGTCTTTGTGGTGAGTATAGGGAAGGGATGCGCTTCCGTGTTGAAGACCCAGTCGTCCAATGAGATCAAGTCGTCTGAAGAGAAGATCAGATACAAGTATTTGAGTGTTTCGGCTAAGAAGAAGGTCTGCTGGACGTCGTCTTTGGCCGACTGGACATCACTGGTGTTGCGAATGCCGGAGAAGCCATAGTCTGTGTGACAGTGCCTTTGAATGGCCTGAGCGGCACTCCAGGCGTAGTCCCGGAAGCGCTGGTCGTGTGTTAGACGCCATAAGTAGAAGTAGCTCTCAATCACTTCCGGTCGCAGTATATAATACTTCTCGTGATTATTGAGAGCCACCGCTTCCTCCCTATCCGTGAAATAGAAGGCTTCCGGTCCGATGTGTGTAGCCGTGCGAGCGTACGATTGGGCGCAGGTGTCGGTGATCTTCGCCGCCAACGACAGGAAGTGGTGGCGAGTGGTGTCGTCCGACGCGTGCAGAGCTCCCAACCCGAACATACCGCCTGTAAAGCAGGCCAAGTGCTCCATTTTGTGCTCCAGGTGCCCGTAACTCATTTTCGCCAAATACGTCAATCCATTGCGTGACTTCTGGACCAACTGCTTATCCACGGCGTCCATGGCTTTGTTGTAGAGGCTGAGCGCCTGTGGGTCCGTACCGTTTGATTGGACCCATGACTTGATGAGGTACTCGTAAAAGCTGTCTCCGAGTGCTCCCAACGACACCGAGTCTTCGCCCCACTGGCCGTTGTGTGGGTTCACGTAATTGGGATACAGACCGGAGTGCGGTTTCGTCTGTTTGTCCATAAAGTGAC